AAAACACCAAATAAATGTGATTACTCCTGTGAAGTTCCCCTGATAATAAAAATAATAGATGCTTGTCATAAAATAGATTCTTTTATTATTATCATTATTAGTTACATTTGATTAACTCTGTATCCCAGTTGTATCCTGCTCCCTTATTCCCTCCCAATCCCACCCTCCCTCCCTCAGCTCCTCCCTGCCCCTTTCCAAGTCCACTGATTGGGGAGGACCTCCTCCCCTTTCGTCTGGCCCTGTTTTATCAGGTATCTTCAGGACTGGCTGCAAAGCCCTCCTCTGTGGCCTAGCAATATTGCTACTCCCTTGGGGGGTGAAGAGGTCAAAGAGCCTGCCACTGAGTTCCTGTCAGAAATAGTCCCTGTTCCCCTTACTATGGGAAACCAATTGGTTATTGAGCTACCACGAGCTTCTTATAGATATTTTGGTTCATTTTTAACTATTGTCTCCTATTTACTTACCCATTTATTATGCATCAGTGCAATATGTTTTTAATTGCTTGAATTTTATGGCATACTTTATTGAGTGAGCAAGGATAACCTCTGTTAGTTTGATGAGGCTCTCTCTGATTATATTCATACAATTAGTTACTTAAATTGTGTTCAGACCAATTTTGTTAAAGTATAAAAATTAACATCGGTGTTACTATTTGGAATGACTTTCAGTTTATAGATTGTTAATGGCATAGTTGGTATGTGTACATTATTAAGTTTTACTTAAATGAAAAACATGTTCGTTATTTGCTATTCCTTTGATTTTGGTAAAGGAGTTTGCCAGGTAACCTGAGCTGGCCTTGAACTCAAGATCTTCTTGCGTCAGACTTCTGAGTGTTGAGATTACTGACCATAGCCAGCACCCTAACTTCTATCCATATCCAAATTAATCTCACTGTCTTTCATTTTAATAATTCCCATGGATACTATTTTGGTTTGCTAACACTGCTGGAACAAAAGATCTCAAATTCAGAAACAAACAACTCCAATCTTTTGCTTTGCAATGCTGGAGGAAAAAGTCTGAAATGGATCTCAGTGAGCTAAAATCAAGGTGTCAGAAGGACTGTGTCTTTAGGGTACTTCAGGAGAGCGTCTCTTCCAATGACTTTCCTATATCCCAGGGCGACATATATTCCTTTAATTATGGCCCCCTTTGTTCCATCTTCAAAGATGCATTCCATCTCTTTGGCCATCCTTTCATAATTCCTTCCTTCCTGTGACTAGGAAAGTTTCCTCATGTAGAACTACTGGTGTGATTAGTCTGGGCTCTTTGACACAATGTAGGGTAATTGCTCTGTCTCATGGATATGAATGTATCATATTTGCGAGATTATTTCTGTCCTGTAAGCTAATGTGTTAATCAAAGGATTAAGTTGTGGCCATCTTTGGAGTGTCATTCTTCAGAGTACAGACATATTTTAAATTAGTTCTGGACTTCACTCCTTTCATTAAACCCCATTCTAATATTAATTGAAGGGGACTTTGATTAACTAGAACAAAGGAATTTAAAGTAAAAATGAAGTGTTTTTGTTTTAGCTGTGCTTAACTGACAGGAAGCTTATTTAACATTCTAAATTTCTAGCTACTAACTCCAGATGGATCTTCAACTGCCCTGACACCCAGCATTATTGCTGGTGCATTAGATCCCTTCTTCTATTTTTTTTTTCACTTTCTCAGACACCTAAGACTGCTTCCTTATCTTTACTCCTAAATAAAACTGCATCTGACTTCATTGAACTGCAGAGGCAATATAAACGGAAATTCCATATGGTGTACTCCCATCTATTAACTCATCTGAACCTTTGCCCAAATAACCAATGTCTAGTCAATTATAGCTCTAGCCAAGGTAAAATTCTCTATCGTCATTCATTCTAGAGAATTATCTCAATGACTTTCCAACCCCTTGAGCTTCAATTCTTCTCTCTCTCTGATGAATTCTGAAGTTGTGGAGCATGCCTAGAGAGTACCTTTATCTGAGCCTAGGAATCCCTAGTTTCTAGAAATCAACGTACACAATCATCCCCATGTGACAGAAAGTGGAAATGTAAGTTTAAATGTTTTTATGTCCAATGTGTCTTCTATCTTATCAGAAATAGTATCGTTTCTTTAGGTTCTAGATTTTGGATGTGGTGTTTATTTTCATTGGGGAAAATTACTTGAGTGAATCTGACACTGTTTAGTACTTCTACTTGGGGATTTGCATGGGAAGTCAATGGCCACATCCACCCTATAGCTGCTATCATAGCATTTGGCACTGGTCACAAGTTCAAATGAGCTCAATGTTCCATATTTATAAATCACCTACTTCAAACAATATTCCTAGAAATTTTTGTCTAATCACTAACGTTTTACATCCAGTCACAACTTCTCTCTTGCATAAATAATAAAACTTATTTGTAAACCATTGATTCTCATTATGATAGAAAACATGAAAATATCCTGTATGGCCTGGAAATATTTGTAATAGCTCAATATCATGAAACATTCCTTGAGGGGGTTGGAGCAACATAGATTTAGAAAGAGCCTCTAGCAGACAAGTTTTATACTAGTTCTATTTGGTAATGGTTATTTATTTTAATGGCCTCTTCCAAGATCAGAAACAAAGAGACACATCCATTTAACTAGATTTTAAAGTAATGTTACAAAAAAAAAATCTCTTTACTGATAACTTATCCCATTGCATTAAATTCAAAGCCTTTTCATACTTATAATGCACTTCAGTATAAACTATATTTGCCAAAATTTCCACACTTTTGGGAATGCAAGGAATGCCTGTGCTCATGAAAAGGAGGCAGGCTTATTGGTGGTAGTTACATAGGGCACTTGTGAGCTAAGTGGCAGGAAGGTCAAGTTTCTCCTGCACCTTACCAAAGCAAGGCCAGGCGAGTCAGGAAAGCCTGACTGTAAGTGAAACCTGATAGACACCAGTAGAGTTTCTACAAGTGCAAGAGAACTTCTTATCTATTTTGAGGATATCTGTGTGTGGAATTCATGTGAAATGGAACGACAGAGAATGCGGATGGTGTAGCTGACTATAATTGTCATTGCAACTGGGTAATAAGAAAGCCAAAGGGACATGGCTTCTGTTACCGGCATACATATTCCACCTGTCTATAGCCACGCTCTATCTTGATTCTGAACTCCATCACAGTCCCCAACAGAGTACCACATTTCAGCATAAAGAAAAAGCAAAGCATAGCCTTGAGACTTGTTATCCGATGGCAAACTCAGTACTCAGAATTTTGTGCTACTCCTAGTTGAATCAAGAGCCAACTTTCCTGTGGCAAAGGTGAATTGCCTGAGTCTACATGACTAGTGTCGGAGTGTGTGTGTGGGGGCGTGATAAAATGAGTTCTTCAAGCCCAGCCTTTAAACTTCTAAACCACTACAACCAAATCTAAAAACACAACAAAAATTAAGTTCATCAATCGGCACGGTGAATGAAAGAATGTGAGCATATATTTGTGTTTAAGGTAAAGTGGCTTAGTCTTGGCTCTTGGGACCTGATAATAACTACTGAGAGAGGTTGTTATATGTTGTATTACAGGGGATTCATCAGTATTTCTGACTTGAACCCACTTGATGACAGTAGAACCTTCACCCAAAGGATGACAGCCAAAAGCATGGCCAGAAATTGGCAGATGTCCTCTGGGAGATAGGAGGCAAAATCACTTCTTTTTTTTTCTTCAGAACTACATTACACACATATATTGTAGTAGTTTTCTGTCAATGTGTGGCTACAACTAAATATTTGAGGTAAACAACTTAAAAGAAACAAATAAATATGGTTTGATAGCTTTCAACCAATGGTCACTTGGAGCCTGTTTCTGGGCCTGTTCTGAGGCAGCACAACCTAAGATCATGCTAAAGCAAAACTGCACAGTTCATGATGGCAAGGATTCAGACTGTCAGAGAGGAGACCTTGCGTGGGTCAGACTCAGTTTCCATATGCATGCTCTAATGACCTACTCCAGCTCCCCTAAGTACCATTCCCTGTAGATTTTACTAACTCTCAATATTTCATTCACTCATGAATTTTGTCAATGGGTTAACCTATTGATAAAGGTCAGAGCCCTTGGGATCCAGTGTCATCCCTAAAGGTCTACATCAGTAATATGGATAAAGTCTTCAACACAGGAACCTCTTAGGACCTTTAAGATAAAGTATAATACATATATATTCATGTACTTATTATCTGAAGAAAGTATTCATAACATGTCCACCTTTCAGAAACTTGCCTTCCCTCTTCTGTTTTTGTTTTTGTTTCTAGGCCATCAGCCAGAACTCTTTATGAGCACGTTTACTATAGTCTTCATAATAAATTATGGTTTTGCATTCTGCTTCGTTTGTTTTCTGCTTCATGCAATTATACAAACTGCCTTCACTGATGACAGTAATCATTCTGAGACAGACGTGTATGGGCTGAAAGAATTCAGTTGCCTCCTTCTCAGTTCTATAGGAATCAGGACCTCCATCAAAGCACCAGACAAGCAGGTGTGCCTGGGATCAAGCATTACAGTAGCAAATTATACCCAGGCACACCAGTAAAGACTGGCTACAAAAGGTGTTCATAGACATAAAATCCCAGATTCTCAGTTTGTATGAGATTAAATCTGCGATCTTAACAAATCTGACGCATTCTTATTAGATATTCATTTTTGAAATCAAGTTGAGACAGACCCAGTTTTTTCTTCCAACCCTTTAGATGACCTCTCTATAAGCTTTCTCGTTGGTTGATGGGAAGCCATGAAAACTTTTTAGATATACATGGGTTTCCTTTGTAAGACCTCCCAGTTAACCTTAAAAAAAAAGTTAGCTGCCATGTACACTGTCCTGCTTGGACATGTCTTTCAAAATGGACATAGATGCCAGCCATCCACTAAGACTCTCTAGTTTGCATTCTTTGTTAATGCCAGGCTTGAGAAGAATTTTCAGCCCATGGCTTTGGCAGAACAGGTGGTTGGCTGGCAGAGCCCCCACAAAATGGCAGAAACAGGGCCTTACCTTTGGGGATGGTGATCTGACAGCCCAGGTCACAGTCCTGCTGTAACTGATAAAAAGCCACTTCCTGCAGCCGTGCCCGCTCCAGCTCTGAGAGGCTCTGGATGGGGACTGACCTCAGGCGCACACTGCGGCCAGACATGCTGTTCCAAGTGAAGTCACCCTGTAGGCCAAGAGAAAAACATGAAGCATGACACAGTTCACCCATTTGTCACAAACTTCCTTCTCAGGCAGTAAGAGAGGCAAAAACTTTCATGTTTATGTTCCACAGCTGTTTCTGTATGCTCCAAGCAAAATTCTGTCTTAGTTCAGCATGATATTTTTTAGTTAACTTTTTTATAAATTACAATTTATTCAATTGGTATACCAGCTGTAGCCCCCTCCCTCATCTCCTCCCAATCTCGCCCTCCCTCCTTCATCTCTGTGTGTAGCCTTTTGTCCTGGAGCTCACTTTGTAGACCTGGCTGGCCTCAAACTCACAGATATCTGCCTGCCTCTGTCTCCTGAGTACTGGGAATAAAGACATGCACCATCACTCAGCTGAAGAAATTTGTTAAGAAATTCAAGGAGAGAAAAATTTTTACATAAAGAGATAAGAAGTGCAGAGATAATGAGCAGTAGGGCATGATGGTGCATATATGTGAGCTCAGCACTGGGGACACAGAGCCTAGAGGATCTTGAGTTTGAGGATACCCTGGGCAGCGTAGATCCTGTCACAAAAAGCTTAACACACACACACACACACACACACACACACACACACACACAAACAACAAACACAGGCAGGCAGGGGATCCAAACTAAGCATTTTGGTTCAAAGTTGAAAACATATTTTAATGAGCCTAACAAAATTGTCAATATATATGGAAAGAAAATAAATATGATTATATAAAATCCAAGGAAGACTTAATCCATGGTACCAATGCCTACTCATCAAATCTCATTAAAAAACCAAGACATAAACACAAAAGTCAATGCTAACACAAAATTACAAAATCATTCCCAGAAAGAGTACCCACGCCCACCATCACAGCCTAGAAGGTGCTCTGGTGTCTTCTCAATTCTCAAATGTGTGTTCAAGGACAGCATTTTTCTTTAGTGACTTCTTCTCTTTTAAATGGACGATTCATTCATTGTAGGGTTCTCGGAGCCCATTTTTGACCCTCTACTCTGAAGCCTGTATTTGATTTATCATTATAGCATACTTTTAAAGGATTGAAAATGTATATTTCAAATTTATTCGCTTTTATAAATGTAGGTACAATTAAATGTGACCCAATGGCTGAGTAGTATATGAGAGCATAAATAATAAAAAGCATATCTTACAGAGATTTGGGTGTGGGCTAATATCTTCTATAGCTTGCCATTTGACAATGACTGAAGAAATTTTGGTCAACCCCACTGAAGAAGAAGGAGGGGTGTGTGTGTGTGTGTGTGTGTGTGTGTGTGTGTGTGTATGTGTGTGTGTGTGATACCTGGAGGAAAGAGGATGGAAAAACTACAGATTATCTTATAATGCATGAAACATTTCCCCACAGTAAATGTCTATGCTGAGACTCACAAGTAAACATTAGGTGATACTTAGGGAATTTGTGGAAAAGTGGGAGGAAAGAGAAAAGGACCTGGAGGTAACAGGAGCTCCACAAGAAGACCAACAGAGCCAACTAACCAGGATCCTGAGGGACTTGCTGAAGCATCAACCAAGGACCATGCACAAACTGGACCAAGCCCCCCTACGAAGATGTAGCAGACTGGTACCTTAGGCTTCATGTATGTCCTCTAGTAAGTGAACTGGGGACTGCATCAGACAGTGACTCACTTGTCTGCATTTTGATTACTTCCCCCAGGCAGGCCTGGCATACCAGGCCACAAGGGAAGAGAACATGCTCAGTCCTTTTGCAACTTGCTGAGCTGGGCTGGATGAGAAAGGGAGCTCTCTTTTCCTAAGAAAAAGTTGGGGGAGCAGGAGGGAGGGATGGGAATCTCAGAGGGAAGAAGGGATGGGGCTACAACAAGGAAGTAAAGTGAATAAAAATAAGAGAAAAGAGGAAAAAAAACCAAAATGCTAATAGTTCAGACCCTGAGAGAACACACTGTGGTTAAACTCAAATTATAGAGAATCCCCTTAAAATGATTGTGTCAGCAAATCTTAACAATCATTTATACATTTTGTTTATCATCAGAGGCATGAGCTATGTATTTTATGCATATTATGTAGGAATCTGTATATTATACACATAAGCATAATCATAGGATTTGTTTTTGAACCAGCTTCAAGAAAAGCAAATGCCATAAACCAATTTATGAAAAACAAACAAAAGACTCAATAAAATAGAATTTTGATTAACTGGAAAGCAACTCAAACAGTATTAACTAGAGAGATTTCTTTTCCACCAGAAGAGTATGTATCTACACTTAGGCAAAAGAATCAAAAGGCAAACTCAAAATCCAATATCTATGTTTTATTCAGAAAGGTCCTTCTCTTGACCTTATCTCTGTGTTTTTACAAACAGACTTGACTTTCCCATGAAATAAAATTGATTAAAGTAATTTTGGGTTGAGCCTACACCACACTGTTTTCTTTTGAATTTGGGGTTGGTCTCTATTTGGAGTATCTCTTTAACCACACCCAGGAATAAACTGCACAGACCAAGAGGGCCAGGAAGGGATTGATGTAGGGAAGCACAAACTATTTTCTGTGGACCCACTAGGTCAGAATCATGGTGGGGAAAATTATCATTATCAAACATGCAAGTTTTTTGGCTTTAAGGCAGGCTTCAAAATTTTAGGTATCCAGCATCTGGTCTAATTATATGTGTACTTTTTAACAAGACTCTGAACATCTTTGAGTCTCAGCTTTCTCATCAGTACATGAGGAAAGAGGAAGAATTAACACTTAGGCATGTGTGGATCACACAAGACAATGCAAATGAATTTCTTGTGGAAGGCTTATTAACTCCTGACAGGCTATGAATAAGTGGTGATTTAAGTTGCAATTAATATTAATCACCACTCTAAATTCACATCTCCATCAGAAGCCTGACAGTTTTAGTGACACACAAAACTCTTAAGAAACGTGTGCTGAATTTTAGAATAAATAGTTCCACTACACTACGTGTTGGACTTGCTTTCTCTTTTTCTTTTCTTTTCTTTTCTTTCTTTTCTTTCTTTCTTTCTTTCTTTCTTTCTTTCTTTCTTTCTTTCTTTCTTTCTTTCTTTCTTTCTTTCTTTCTTTCTTTCTTTCTTTCTTTCTCTAGGTGCCAGTTGAATCACGGTTTCTTGAAGGTAAGAAGCACAAAGTAAGGAACTTAAGGACTAAAGAATGGTTTGTCATTTAGATCATATGTGTCACAAGTAAATATTTTCCCAGGGTTTTCTAAAGTGGCCAGTGTCATGTAATAATAATTAGTAAAGGCATGCTTCCCAGATAGTCAAGATACACTACTAAAGCATAGCATAAGTTGAAATACCAAAGCTCACAATCAACATTTCTGCCTTGATCTTTCAAACTCCAAAATAAATATGTGGCAATGACAGGAAACTTCCTCTTTTGTGAGATCCTGGGGAAAGCTGAGAGTGTCACACCCATGTCCTGACTCATCGGGGGGGGGGGTGTTCCTGTATGTACTCAACAGGAAACCATTTTCAATAGTCCTCTCGTGACTATTTATTCCTCAGCAAACTTTACTTTATCAGGATTTAATACCTCTCCTGTGTCATACACTTTAAAAAATCCATTGACTCTGACCTTTTCTCATTAAAAATTTCCATTTCATTTTGAGCATGAATGTCAGCAACTTAGAAACTGTTTATAGGAATGGTAGCCTACTTTGAACTCTTGCCTTCATACATTACTGTTACTTGAGGAGTGTTCAAATTCAAACATGCAAAAGCCTATCTTGTTTGTTCAACAAGTACTGAATGAGGGAATTCTATAGGCCAGAAACTCTTCAAGATACTTAAGACTCATTATTGAACAAAAGAGAAAGCAGATAAACACAGTCAATGACTGAGTAGCTCACAGGAAGTTACAAGATGATAAGCATTAGAAAAGCAGGATTACTTTGGGAGCTTTCTCTTTGTATCTCAGTTGTAGTAGCCCCCCCCTCCCCGCTTCTCCTCCCAATCCCACCCACCTCTCTTCCTATGCCCCTCTCCTAGTCTACTGATAGGGGAGGACCTCCTTTCCTTCTGTCTGAATCTAGCCTATCAAGTGTCATCAGGGCTGGCTGCATGATGACAGCCCCTGATCCCCTTACTAGGGTACCCACTTGGAAACTGAACAGCCTGTGAGTTTCATCTGAGCAGGGGTTCTATCTCCACACATGGTTCTTGGTTGCAGTATCAGTCTCTACAAGACCCCTGTGCCCATGTTTTTTTGGCCCTGTTGGTCTCCTTGTGGAGCTCCTGTCCCCTCCAGGTCTTTTTATCTCCCCCTTCTTCCATAATATTTCCTGCACTCTGCCCAAAGTTTGGCTATGAGTCTCAGCTTCTACTTATCTTGAAGTTTTATTCAAACAAAGCCATACTCACACCCTTGGGTACAGCCTATGGTCCTGTTCAAGCTTCATTGGTAAAGCTTTTACAACAGAAACTGCTTGGCCTACAGAGCTAAACAATTTTATCATTTGGCTGTTCCAGAATATATTTTCTGATCATTGCACCAGTTTAAAAGTACTAAACCACATTTATGTTTAGAATTAACCCTTTGGAGCAATATTTATTTTTAAAATCTCTAAGATAGTACTTCTTTGGAATATTTCCCAATAAGCCTATAAAGAAATCGTATAAGATGCCAAAAATTGAGATGTTAGAAATATAAATGGGAGAGTGAAATATAAGTAGTTTTCTAAGACCCTCAGGCTGATGAAATAGCTCAGCATGAAAAAAACATTTGTTTCCAAGGCTGAAGACCTGAGCTCAGTCTTTTTGAAACCACGTGGTATAAAGAGAGAACTAACTCTGCATGCCCTCTGACCTCGTTGGGCATGCCATGCCATGTACAAGAGCATATGTGTGCACGCAAATATAATTAAAATGTGAGAAAAGTTAAAATAAGGAGTCTGAGTAGAGTAAGTGCAGGATGGACAAGGATGTGCTGACCACTCTGAAGATCCACATCATTGGCGAGAGTGGGGTGGGCAAGTCCAGCCTGCTCCTGAG